ATAGATTATAAAGATGCAGTGTCTCCCTGTGGAGATGGCTCCTGTCTTTTAGACAGGAAAATTATTCTTTTATTAGAGTTAAAAAAGAAGCAATCAATATCTTCAAATTTTCTATTTCAGGATATGGATTTGCTTTAAAATTGTGGGCTCATTTTAAGAAAATAGAGAAGAAATAAGTTGTTTCTGTGTTAAAATATTTTCCATTGATCAGTCATTTGCTGTTTCCAATACTGAAGTGCAGAACTGAAAAGAACAATATCAGCAGCTTACAGGAAGGGTTAAATCTTTGTAAAGAATGCTAAGTGTACTTTGCAAGATGTCATGCCTTTATTCTGAATATGAGTGAACCTTTAGATAAAAATATGAAAGACATTATTAGATGATTCTAGACCTTTGGTTTAGAAATAAGGGGCACATTATTTGTCTGTGGTAAGTAGTATGTTAGAAGATGGTTTTGGACTGAGTTCCATTGGCTGTTACTCTTGGATATTTCTGCTAAAAACATTTGGAAGTTCCAATGACTATTTTAGGAATAGACCTAAAATAAAAGCAGATTTCGAGGAATATTGCCTACTTCTTATGGACAATTTATGTGGATGTGATAAAATTGCTCTCTTCCATTTATTGCATGCTAGGAGACAATGTGTGGGTTTAGCAGCACAAAGGCTTGGCCACAGGAGTTGGAAATTGAGGAAAGAGATAGGAAGTGATTTGGCAACATATTTCTTTCATTCACTCATCAAGCTATGACTGTTCCATCATATTGCCCAAGACGTGTGTATTCGTAACAAGAATTTGTAGTCAAAGAAGCATTGGTTTGGTTTCTTACTGTGTTAAGCTGCAGTCTAGAACTGGGTTGAAAGAGGAATTGGCTTGTTCTGCTGTGCTCTGGCCCAGGAAAAGCATCTGTTCAGATAACAAACTTTGTAGATAAATTTAAGGTTCTTACTGGACCACTGTGACATTTAATGGTGATACTCATCAAGCCTTTTTGTAAAGGACCCTTAATAGTAATTTTTTTACCATTATTCTGTCTTTCATTTTTCACCAATATTGTACTTTTAGTTTGAATCTAGGTTAATAGTGTATGGTGGTATGTTGTGGTTTTGTTCTGTTTTTTCCCCCCCATATTATGTGGAAATGTATTCTGGTTTAGTCTTTGTAGATTTGTAAAGTTTTGTGTAGGCATGTATTTACTTGTATTATTTTTCCTTACTCAGTTAAGAATAATATAAAAGAAGAGAAGAAACTTAGTTTTGTTTCATTATGGTTGATGAAAAGCATACCTTAATAGGGAGCTATTGAAGGCTCTTTTTATTCTACTGTCTATGGCTATTTTTAAATACATGTAAAAGTCTACCACTTGTGTTGCCTGAATTGGAGAGGAAGGAACATTAATATATTTCAAAGACTGAACATACTCTATCTTTCTCTGACTTTATTTATACATCCAAAGTGGATTTAAGTGTAGTCCAGAGTAAGGAATTTTGCTTTGTTTCAAAGCAGGAGAAACATGAGTTGATTTAGTTTCTCTTTCCTAGATTTGTCTTCTATAACTCACTACCTCAGCCATAGAAATTTTTGCCTATTGTACCTTGAAGATTTATAAGAACACTGTGAATCAGATTAACTATGCTGTCCTGAAGTTCACTTTCTCCATGATGCTTACCTGTGCTTGTTTGAAGTACTTTGTTGATCTCAGCAGTCACAGCTTTAAAGTTCTTTGAACTGTACAACATCCATCACATATTCCAAAGCACTGAATACTAATATTCTTTTGGTTTTTTGAAATACCTATGGAAATTTATGGGAATTTAGGGTTTAACTACAAGCTTCTGTGGTTCCTTTCCTTGACTTCCATAATTCAGTGCACATGACACTTACAGACTCTCTGTTGGCAGTTTGTTAGTGGTACTGTGGAAAGCTGTGATTATGACAGGCAGCCATAGCAATGAGATGTGTCATATCCCAGCAGTTTTCTCTGGGCTTGGTAATGGAGGAGCAGCTGATGGGGTGGGACAGCGAAGCAGCAGCTGTTACAGAGCTGCTGAGAAGGTGTTCAGAGCAGTGGATTCCAAACTAGAAGCTGTGGTTTATAGGTGCAGGACTGAGTAATGTGGTACTTATGGCAGAACTTGGAGTTAGAGAATACCTGTATCTGCAGGTGCAAGTAACTTTTAGTCTGCGAGTAAGATCTGTGATGGAAGAGAGTTGGGGAATAGCTGGTGCAGAGTTTGGAGACTTTACAAATACAGACCTCCGAGTGGAGAAACATGTGGCTATTGCTGTTTGGAAGTGTGTTTCCGTGAGCTCTTCCTTTCACAAGTAGATCAGCTGCTGGCATGTTTCTTCCTGCAGTCCTAAAACTTGTTTGCAAGAGAGCTTATGATCAATTCCTCACTGTTTGGGTTCCATAACTGTTAAGTGGTTACCAGTGGATTTATATGCCTCTTCTTTAGCCTGGAATAGGCTAAAGCTTTATCAGCAGGAAGAGTGTGGTGGGTTGACCTTGGCTGGACACCAGGTGTCCGCCAAGCTGCTCTATCATTCCTCTTCCCAGATGGACAGGGGAGAGACAATAAGATAGAAAATGATTTGTAGGTTAAGATAGGGCAGTTTACTAAAGCAAAAGAGAAAGTTTGCACAAAGTGAAGGGGAGAATAACAAGGTTTATTCTCTGCTTCCCATTAGTAAGTGATGTCTGGGTACTTCCAGGAAGCAGGGCTTCAGCATGTGTAGCAGTTGCTCAGCAGGCAAATGTAAACAACAAGAGCCCCCTCTTCCTGCTCCTTTCCTTATCTTTTATATCTGAGCTGATGTCATATGGTACAGAATATCCCTTTGATTAGTTTGGGTCAGCTGGTCTGGTTTTGTCCCCTCCAAGAATCTTGCCCTCAACTGGGAAAGGAATGTTACAGTGCTGATGCTGTGCTCAGCAGTAGCCAAAACGCTGGTGTGTTATCAACACCTTTCCAGCTACCAATGCAAAGCACAGCACTGTAAGGGCTACTATGGGGAAGTGAATTCCATCTCAGCCAGTCCCAATACCAAGAGATGTTTTCCTATCAGGCTAATTGACTCCAGAAGATTAGCTGTTACTGATGTGGAGTAGTTTTAACATAGTCCATAAAGATATCGTTCGGACCTGAGATGTGAGCTCTGGGGTACATGAGGGCAGATTTGCTATTCACTGTTGAGATAGTGACTACTCCTCTCATTCTAGATCGGGCTTGCTCCCTTCTTTTGTTCAGTGCAGGTGTCATAAACTGATCAGACTAAAGGACATAGCTGTTGAATTCAAACCCTGTCCCATTTCATAATGACTGTGGAGTGGGCTTTTGGAAGACAGAGGAGAAGAGGATGTCCCCCATAGCAAATCTGGATGCTTCTTGTCATTAGATTATGTCTCACTTCTGTAATTGCCATGAATTATATTTGTGAAAGCAAGAAGGAGGTTGCTGAGACAGTTAGAGACTTTGAATATTGCAGAGAGCCAGAGAAGGGTGTCAGTGCAAAGTGCCTCTAGAGGCCAAGAGAGCAAAGGCTGGAGCGTGTTGTGTTTGTACTTGGACCCCACAAGCTATTGTTTTTTGTGTTTGTCTGCCTTTTGACCCTGAAGCATACAAATTGTATTCTTTTCTAGACCAGGACACTTCAATTACTTCTGTTTTAATTATTCATAGCATTCTGTTAAACTACTGATACTAGATTACTACATTTTTCGTCCTTACCTTTATTTGCTTCGTTTGGAGAGCTACATGATAAATCTCTTTTATATATGAACTCTGTACATAAAGAAATTGAGGGGGAAAAAGCCAAAACCAAAGCATACTATCTCAAGACTAGTCTACATGCCAACAAAGATTAGAGTATTTCTTTACTTTGTCAGCATGTCCCTCCCCCATCTTACATTCATTTAGAAATGAGACACTCACAGCTGTCTGAGAGACCCTAACTGCCTCAGACATATGCACAGTTACAGAGTTTGTAGGATGCTTAGGATTCAGCAGGGGAGAATTTAAAGGGCAGCTCTGTGGTTGGTAGAACTACAGATCCTGTCTGCTTTCTTGTCACTTCCCTTGAACTAGCCACGGTGCATCAGTTGTCCAATTTGATTGAAAACAAACTTGCAAAAAAGAGGAAGAAAAAGTGCATTTAAAATCCACGTGACCCATCAGAAGTCTTGTAAACTTCCACTGTGCATAAGGAATGTATTTTTGATTTGTTTTTATGTAGCTGGGAGAATAGCATTAATATCCAGTTGAATCTTTTGTAACATCTTTCATATGTTTTGTTGCTCCTGTTTATGAGCTCATTTCAGTTAGATGCTTTGGGTGTGTATGTGTGAATTCAGCTGGCCTGATATGTATAACACGTAAATTTTTATTTAAATTTTGTGTATATTCTTTCTGCTGCTGTCAGTGCTTTTCTCACTGTATTCTAAAATTGATGTGCAAAATTTAGTTCGTGCATTTATTATCCCCAGTTTTGAATGTTTATTTCACTTGGGTTATAAATGTAAAACCAAAGAAAATGCAGTTCACTGAACACATTAATCAGTTTAATTGTTCACATTAATTTAATTAAGTGTTCTTGCTTTTGTGGGAGAAAATAGGAATGTGTGTACAACTGCTGCTTAGAAATAGTCTTTTGGTTTTCCTCTTCAAGGAAATAAAGCTGCTGATAAAGCTTTACCAAAATTCTCTATTTCCTATATGTGACTTCTAGAACTAAATAAAATTTTATACTCCTTGGAAATGTTTTCCTCTTGGTATTAGTTTCTGAGAAACACCTTCCTGATTAATGGATTTTCAGTGATAGGACTTTGAAAACTAATGTTTGTCCTCTTGTTTTCCCCCTGGTGGCTACAGTAGTACCTGTTTGCTAGTTCACTGTGAACGAGTTGGTGAGAAGGGAATGAAGAGACAAGATGGGGGGGTTTTTATTGTTTACATGTTGGTAAAATCACAATTTATGTTTTCTTTTGTGTTTTCTTCCAGATTTCACAATGGTCTCTTAAATGTTAAAGATGTTCTTACAAGTTTTGACAACACGGGGAATGTCTGTAAGTCACTATTTGTTTACATACAGTATTATGTTGATAGGAGTCTAAATACATCAATGTAAAATATTGCTGTATGAGCCTTCAATAACCATTTTGTTTAGCTGAGAAACTCCGTTACTGTGGTCAGAGGTACCATAACATTTTACATGTTACAGGTTTATGTAGCACAGTTTTTTCTGTGGGTGCACCCTCAAGTCATCCCAGTGCAGGTTATTTTTGGTTCTGTGATTGTGGTGGGAACATTAGAGCAGCTCAACTGGGTTGGACAAAAAATTAGTTTAGCCCATTGATTTGTGTTGGCCTTTGACCAGCAGTGTGGGGAACAACAGTGTGAGAACATGGGAAGCAAACAACGGCACTTCCAGCTTGGAGTGGACAAACTCAAATCACAGAAACATGAAAGAAAACACACAGTCAAGTTGTGAAATTGCTCCCCACAGAATGTTTTGGTTCCTAAAACATGAAATGAATTCAAAAAAGCAAAAGGGAAAAAAAATCGTGCAAGAAAAATTCACTGTGGCTGTTAAATATAAAGACATCACTTATGGCTTAGGAAATGCTGGGTCTTAGGAGAATTAATGGGGCAGTAGGATGATATGTTTGTCCTGATCTTTCACTGTTGTCTAAGCATCAGTTACTGGCTGCATTAACCTGAGACAAGATGAGCTGTAAGTGGGCCATCAATGTCTGACCCAGTATGGCTCTGCTTCAGTATACTTATTAATAAAATTATCTATGCTACTAATGGACTTGAATTATAGAATTGTGTTAGACTGTGGAAAATAAGCTGAGCAATAATATTGAAATACTTTTGATGTGATGAGTAATTACTGTTATATAATTATATACATATCATTGTTATTTGATTATTCTGCCATATCTTTCTGATTGTTTTTTTTGTTTTCAAATATACCAATAAAGTTGGTTAAGTTTGTCAGATATGCAAGAAATGTGCATGTATCTCTTCCTCCTTATCAAAGCAAAGATATAGAAACTGTTCTCATATATATGTTTCGTCTCAAAACTGCAGTGTCAGTATACCAAAGCTATGTTTCAATAAATATTGGCATTTCATTAGCAAAAAGGTCAATTCATTTAATAAACTTTTGTCTTCAAAAGCAAAAAATAGTCATAAACTACATGCTCTTCTTTTTAAAATTTGTTAGCTTTCATTCAGTTCTGAACATTGAAGGTAATTGTGTGGTCTTGCCTCAAAATACTTCCGGATATATTTTGTATCTGTTACCAAAGAGAAATTTGTTCTTTGATTTCTGAATGAAAATTATATCTAAGGGATAATATGAATATCCAAACTAATAATATTAAGGCTAAGAAAGAAAATTCACATTTGTAATTATGGTTGACTTCAGCTACAGGTGTAGGCATAATGAACTGGATGATAAAAGCATCTAGATTAAAGTCATTCAAGATCTGGAAGAAAAATGCTTTGCTTAAATTATGGGAGGCATTTAGAGAGATTTAATGTTGCAGGTTCTTGGGAGAGGAAGCTAGACAGAATTCTATAAGAAGCTACGTTATTTTCATAAACTGTTCTCAATCAGTGAAATAATTAGGAAAAAACTCCTTAAATAGGGCTTTGGATCCAGAAAAAATATTGTTATATTAGTTCATTAGATAACAACTTGGGTATTTATTTTGAATGGCAGAGAAAATATTTTGTGTGTGTGTTTAGAAGTGCTTCACACAGTGGATCAGGACAGTGTACCTTACTCTGTGAAACATGTTAACATGATCTCTCCATCTTTGTTTTTTGTGTGAGTGCTTAAATTGTGCTCAATCTACACAAATTTCCCTGTTAACACAAATAATTTACTCCACTAAAGTTTTCATATGCTTTCCTATTGATAGGTGTGTTGTCAGCTCTTCTGTTAACTTTTTCCTGTATTTCAGCTACTTTCGTATTGATTGCAGATGGTAGAACAAGACTTACACTCTAATAGGCACACAACCGGTGCTAACACAGGAGTAATGTGACATTTGTAGTTCTTCTTACTGTTTATTTGTATATACAAAGATCCACATTTGTCCTTTTGTATTCAGTATTTCTTTGAGGGTTCATGCTGTGCCATTATATACAATGTTTGCTAAGTCATTTCCAGATTCATGCTCCCCAGTTTTAAATGTCTTTGTCTGTAAGTGTCTGTCTGTATTGATCTACATATGGGTGATTTATGCCTATTTTACTATGCACTCTAGATTACACTCTGTAAGAGTAATGGTATAATTGTTATCTTCTGGCAGCATGCAGTATTAGCTTGGAGTGTAATAATCATACTTTTTTGCTACCACCTGTATGGAATAAATATTCTGTGTCCAAGCCAGAGTAACTATGTGTCTGTCACACCATCATAGTAAAGTTCCCCCAACCATGTGTTTACTGAGGTACTCTATTTGGCTTATACCTGACTGAATTTCTGTGCACTCCCGTTGTCACTTGATTTGAATTGTCTCTTTCTTCGACCTTTTCCTGTGTATTTTCTGACTCTCTTTGTTAATCCATTGTGGAAATGATAGGGGGGTTACCTCCTTTGACCTGCTGTAGTGTTCTATAAGAAATTTGTATTATCAAATCATAACCTACTCTAAAAAAACCCCAAATATTTCTAAAATGGTCTTTAGCAGTATCAGATTGTTTCTTCTAATACCTAATACTAACAGAGTTAGCCAGTACTGAACATACTGTCACCGCAGCGTGCTCTTATGAGGGGACACCTTGAAAAATTACAGACTTCAGTGTTCTTTTGGGACACTGCATAGCCAGAATTTATGTACTGTGCACTAAACTTCACTAAAACTATTTGGACTGAGTTGTCAGAAAAGAGGTAAATATTTTGGGTTTCTGTGTGTTTGTTTTGGCTGCAATACAGCAAATTTATCAGCAAGATTAATGTTTTGCTAGTGAATATTAGATTATGAAATAATTGTGTATTAAACAGATTAGATGTTGTAAAATCTGAAACACATTGCATATTACATCCTTTTAAAACATAATAATTTCCTTCAAACAACAAGGTTTGTGCAGTTTTAGGGGAAGCTTTTTGTTTCTTCTAGTAAGTATTTTCTGTTAAAACAAGCTCTTTCACGAAGCATTTCTATGCTCTTTCTGTTTCACATTTTGATCTCTCTTCTTATTGTCTTTAACAGCCACATCACCATACACCATCAAAAGAAAAGTGGTAGAGTGGACTCTAGTTAATACCACTATTCCTATACTCCCAGTAGGTATCAACTCAGTACAAGATGTGCCACTAGCTGGCAGCATTATATAAAATATCAATAAGCAGCTTTTGAGGAATACTCATGACTGCTTCCAAAGGCACTGCCTTATACCAGTAAGACTTCAGGACAAAAGTGGAGACAGCTGCAGTAGCTCTAAATGGTGTATTGCAGGGTCCCAAGTGTTAACTCTGAAAATTACCTCTGTACAATGTCTCATTCAAACTTGGTATGTACACTTGTATTCTGTCCTTTTCAAAAAGATTTTGCATTTTCACTGTAGGATTGCTACTGTACATGAAAACTCACACTATAAATTGCAATTAGCTTCCACTCTCCCAGAAAAATGTGAAATTTCTTTCCTCTCCTGTTCTTCTCCTGTTTATGAGAGAGTGGTTTCCACATGAAAACTCTAAATGAATTCTCCACACAGACAGGATGCAATTCTAAATGCACTTCATTCAGCTTTAATTCTATGCAAAAACAGGAGGCAGGGAAAAGAGGACTGGAATGAAGGAAAGGATCAGTCTGTTCATTTTAGACAACAATATGCCATCTGTTAAAAAGATGGTACATCCTGACACCATCTCTAGTCCTAAGAAAGTCCTTTAAAAGAAATGATGCATCTCAGGCCGAAGGTTCAGGGGTGGCATTGTGAGACAGCATGAGTTGGCCCCTGGAGCCACATGCCACACTCATTCTTGCAGAAGAAACTGTCCAAAAATTAAGGAAAAGTCTACAAGGATGAGCTTTTGAGATTATCACCTTCCGTTGCCTTTCCAAGTGGGAGAAAGCAGTTTTGACTGATGTGCTTGTTTGACTATGTCCCTGAAGTAATAATTTTAAATTATGTATACATTTAAATTAAGTGAAATGATCAGGGTCCAAAATATAAACCTCTTTACTAATTGCCACCAGCCTACTCAAGCTACAGAGTATGTAAAGGAGAATTTTAAGAAATGAAATACAGCATGTTTTGGGATTTTCATCTAGTATGTACCTGATGTTAACACAGAAACAAGATAGTCCAGAATGCTCAAGTAGTATAAAATTGCAAATATGCTATATGTAATAAGAAAACATTTTCTTGTAAACTGCATGTAGAATTAGTTAATAATGTAACCATTTTCAAGAAACAACATGTTCAACATGTATTCATTTTATTTTCTACTTGGTTGAGTGTGCAGTTATATGTTTTAGAACTAAAAGAGCAGCAGAGGGTGCTACAGTTACAGAGCTACCCAGGCATATACTCCAAAATTGTTGTTCCTGTAGGCAAGTAAATCCTGCAAACACTTAAGCTTTCCTTTTGGGGTAGTTGTAAATAGTATAGCTTTAAATAGAATTATGTATTCACTTTTTTCTTGATTTTTTAAAATTATTTTTTATTTTTTAAGTTTTATTGGTGGAAAATGTTGCACGGTTTCCTGAAAACATAGTGTCTGGATATAGTTACTGTTACAAAGCACCTACTCAACATCTTTAGAACTAGGTTTGTTTGTGCTAATTTTACATTTAGAAGTTCCAGTCTCTGCCACGAATTTTTTTTTTTTAATTTTAATATGTTCTACCCAAAGTAAATAAACCAGTGAAACTGGAGAATGTTTTCTTCCATTTTCATGAAAATAACAATAGGGAAAAAGTTTTCTTAAATTTCAGGCCCACATCACAGTTTTTGGAAACAGGTATCAAGGGGGAAAAAAAAGAAAAGAAAAAAAAAATTCTCCTTTTAGTTTGCACTTTTTTGCAGGTTTTATTAATTT